ATAAAGCGAAACATTGCCAAAAATTGCTTAAAATTTACAAAAAACTCATAAAATTTACAAAACTAACAAAATTTATTGTTTATTTTCTTCAATTTTTAAATTCTTCATTTCTTCGTTTCCTATAAATTCGTATTGTTTATTGTCTTCATGTAAATGTACAGAATCCAAATTAATTCCCTTTGTTTCGACTAAAAATAACCAAGAAATCAACAAATTTATTGAGCCAATTAAGACAATAATTAAATAAACACTTGCAGGCCAACGAGTGTTTAAAAATACTAACTGAATATAATAAAATTGGGAAAATTTTTTGAAAAGTTTAAAGACCACTGGAGCAATTAAGGTACCAATACGAGCTATCAATGAACATGAACCAACTGATGAGGCTCTAAGTATTAATGGATTATTTCATTTGAGGAATATAATTATTAAAAACCTCAATGATGTTGGCACCGATTCTACGGCGCTAAAAAATTATTTAAATTGTCTTATTTAATTTATTTGTTAAAAATCGAACCAGAGATAGCAGGCATCCCTAAAAAATAAAGTAGTTTTTTAAATCCTTATCGCTTGGATTAGTTATTAGTTAATGGAAAATCATTGGATATCCGGACGAACCAGAGGTTCGGAGATAGTATCCGGGCGAACCATTTCCGAACTTTAAACCTACTTATTTATTTTTTGAAAATGTTAAAGATTTATAAACTTTGCATGGTGGAGACCGATTTTACTGAGACCATGATTTAGTGGAAAGCTTCGAGCTTTGAAAGATCCTGCTAGCCTCCCTCAGAGAAAAGGAATTCCCTTTAGACCCAGAGCCGTGGTCCGTTAAACGGAGATAATTGTAGAACGTTATTCAAAACAAAATAAAACCAAGTTAATTCAATGAAAGTTATTCCAATTAAATTAGCCAAAAGAATTCCAATTCCATCTTGATCGTAAAAAACGAAAAAGACTAGAAGAGATGCAGATATAATTACTACAAGTTGTGCCCCTTGATGGAGATTACGCCGAGAAAATTTTGGAAATACAGTATCAACTATAACAAGGCATATAATTGAGAATATACGTGGGGGCCCATTATATTGTATGTTATTATAATCCCAGAGGTGGGGCAGGCTCTTGGATCAAACCAGAAGGTTGATCAGGTCTTCGAGTTGTCACCTAAGTGCCCTAGAATAAATTAAAGACTAAATCCTCATTTAAGCATTTATTAAATTAAATAATTATTCAAACAATTAAAACATTCAAATATAAAATAATTAAAGGAAAAGGCAATTAAAAGCGCTATTGATTTATAAGTTTTTCTTTACATAAAACATTGAAAGTTAGCTAACTGACTGAATGAATAAGGATTTTCTAAGCTAATGGAAAATATATGGGCGGGGCTTAGATATGCTTTACACCTCCCTTATCCGACAAGATCGTCCCTGATCTTAACAAGATTTAAATTTCTTAAAAATATTGGATCTTTAGAAACACTGGTTATTATCGATGGCTACTATTTAAGGGAATGCACATAATTTATCTAAGTTTGTTGATGCGCTCCTGAATGAGCAATATTTTATCTATAGAGCTAAATGTGCGTCATACGACAGCACTCCGAAGATGAGTTTTATCCATCCTTGTGAATATTTTTATGGCATTCCCTTTTTATTATTTAATATTTTTATTACCAGTGTTTCTTTTAAAATTATAAAAATAAATGTTTTCTTTTTGACTATATCTTTCTGATAAAATTGGGGTTTAAAGCATATCTAGATTGGAGGAAAAATGTTTTGAAAAAAATGTATGGTTATTATGTAAATTAAAATTTGGCATATTTAAAATAATGATGGAATGTATAATTGAAAATTGTATATAACGTATTTGTAATTTAAGTGAAAATTTAAAAATAAAATGAATGTTTAAAAATTTAAATACAGACAATATTGATTTTGTGAATTTATAAAATTGTCTTAAGGCTTATGTGCTTATTTTTTTTAAAAATACAATAGTGAAATAACCTAAGTTAATGTATTTCTTATTGAGTGGATAATACAAAAATCATTTAGTAATAGAATAAAAACAAAAAAATTATGTGTTTTTTTTGTGAGTAAGGAGAAAGAAAGGTTTTTGTAAAAAAAAATTTTGAAGTGGGAGAGAAAAAAAAATTATATTTTTGAAACAATCAAATTAATGTTAAAGTAAAAATTGATTTAGGTATAATAAAACAAATTTGTTTAAAGGCAAAAATAATGAATTTAAGGCACACATTTTTTTAGTTGAGACAAAAAATTTACTGGATTAGAAAAAAATTTAATTAGGCTTATCTTTCAAATAAATTTCTTAAAAAGATTACATAGTTAAGTTACTATTTTGAGAAATTATTAGATCAAAAGAATTATTGAAAAAAATTTAATGGTAGAGAACAAATTGAGATTTAAAAAAAAATTAGAGAAAAAAAAATTAAAACAAAAATAAATTCCAGCCATTTGTTCCATTGATGTGCAACATTAGTTGAGCATATCATGAGAGCTTTGAAAAAAAAAAAATTGTTTTTTTTTTTAATTTTAATAAAAATTAAAATGGCTTTCCTCTACCACCACGCCATGAATTGCAGTCTTTTGAAATATGACCATATTGACCACAATTGTAACAGCAATCCGAGCGCACAAAAGTTTTTCCAGTATACATTTTCCAATTGTTGCTCGCAAACGGACGCTTCCTAAAATTGAAATTGTTAGTATTTGTATTTTCAAAATTTTTATTTTTATTTACAAACCATTCTTCTTGGTACCTGTTACCACTGCTTGTTCCTTGACCATAATTTCTCCATGAGTCATTGGATCGGACCTGAAAATTGAAATTTTCAACATTTTGACATGCGTTTTGACCATACATGGAGAGAATTTGACCAAATCTGTCTCTTTTTACTCGACCTGACTGTAAAGTATTTAAATAATTAGTTCCTACGACTGACGTGAATTCTGTAGCTTTTACAATAAACCTTGACCAAACTCTTCCACATTTAAGCAATTCAATGTCTCCTACTAGAAAGAGACCATGTTTGCTTCGACTTAGCGCTACAGTACTACGATTTTCATCAGAAAAGAATTCAGAGGAGTCCGTTGAGTTACTATCAGTACTATGAGAGCGAGTAGTCACGAGTACAATAAGATCCGCTTCCATTGATTGATAACCATCTACCGACACAGTGAGTACATTATATCCAAGTTTTTCAAATTCGATTTGTAAGCATTCTTTTTGAAAAAGATAAAGACAAATCACCACAACATTTACTTCAGGCGAAATGTATTCATACAATGACGAGACGAGTGTGACAACCTAAGTCGTTTGCAAATCATTTGTGAGACTATGAGAAACTACATCTTGCCGACACGAACCAACGACATTGAGTAGTACTATTGGACAACTTTGTATAGGCAGTGGAAACCGAGAATTCGTCAACAACGCTCTTTCATCTGCAGAACGTCCAGGCTCTAATGGTTCATTGTGAATTTCATAAGCAGCGTACGACACACACAACACTAGTAAAGGATGCATGCGGTAGCAAACAGAAAGACGAGTCTGGTGGACTGATGGTGAGATGAGTAACTGTGGAACAATCGAGTCAAGACCAAACCCATCGTGAAGCGATTTAGGTAGATCTTGCAGATGAGTCCCAATTTGAAATTTATCGCCAGTTATGAGAATCTTTTCCAAATTCGGTAATCTGGCAACAAGATTTGTTATTTCAGCGAAGCTCGTCTGGGTTGCTTCATCTACAATGAGGACTGTTGTGTCAAGCAAAGATGAGTAGACCATATTTTCGGCCATCGCTGCTGTCGAAAAGACTATTTTCAGATTTACAAGTTCAGAAAGCATCGAGCCCAGTTTCACTTCACTTGTCAAACGAGGACGCGTTTCAAAATTTTCACAGTACTCTTTCACATCCTGTTTTGCATTATTATCCAATTTTTCATTAATTTCTTCTAATTTAAGTTTCGTGATAAGCATGTGACGTCTCAACTCATTTATCATTTCTTTGTAGCGATCCTTTGCGAAACCTGAGAAAAAGGTGATTGCCCTCGACTCTTCCATTTCTTCTGGAGATAATACATTCTCAAGTTCTTTAGCGAGTTTGGCTAAAGGCAAGTTAGCAGATGTAATAATGGCAATTTTAGCATTGGTGAGACTATGGAGAAGAATAGCTGTAACAACTGCTGCACAGAAGGTTTTTCCTACTCCGGGAGGTGCTTGCTGGTAAACCAGCTTGCACCCCCCAGAGAGCAAACTGTTTACCGTTTCTTTCTGCCTTTCATTTAATAACCTCATCAGAGGGTGAGGATTTAGTGGCTCAGAGACATCTTCCAAATCTACTATTTCAAATTCGCGTGCCAAAAGAGCTTTCATTAATTGACCCTGTTTTGTGTCCAGTAACGATAGACGAGACGGCATATTCGCTGAAAAGCAAGTTCGACGACTTTCACTACCCTTTATTATTATTGGATGTACAACAAGCAGACCACCATCTTGTGCATTCAAAAATTCTTCTTCTGTATCTCGATTTTTACGTTCTTGAACATTCAAAACTCTTATCACCACACTAAAATTAAATTTGAGATTCCCGAAGGACCTGACATTTTCCGTTTCAATTTTCTTGACCACTCCAAGACCAAAATGAGGATGTTGCATACTAGACTTGAGTTCAACTTGATCATCAACTGCCCAAACACTTTTCAAATTTTTCACTTTCATAGAGTCAATTTCAGAAAACTTCAAGTAGAATTGTTTGTCCCAATATAATGCTGCGCCTTCAAATCGATTCTCAATAATTTTCTTTCTTTCATCTTCGAACGAATAGGCAATTGCAGCGCTGATTATGCTTTCACAAAGTTCGACTTCCTCAATGGACATTTGTGGAACTAACGGATAAAAGACATTTTTGCCATCGCGTTTGTAATGCCACGGTAAGTGAGAACGTACAGTTCCGAGGACACCAAAATCATCTCTTAACATTTCCTCAGACCCCATTTTGAACTCTGATTGTGGCGGAAGAAGGTAAGCTTCATCGACTAAACATTGTTCAGGAATTTCAGCAACAGAAACCGTCACCAACTGTCCAATTTCTAGTTCATCCAAGTCCAAATCTACCAACTGTCGCCTATAGCATTTAGAACAGACTTGTAAACCCGCCGAAATGACTAAGCAACACAACAAGCTGTTATATTTACCACCTCGCTTCAAACTTATTACAACACCGGGTAAGTCTCTTCTGTTCGCATGATGAATGAATTCAACTTCTTTGATTATTGCCTGGGGATTGATTCGACCAACATTCCAATTCTTTCTGTCCCGAGTGACTTCAAACTCATTCCGAGCCAAAATTTCGTATCCAACTCTCCATTCAAAATTAGCAATAAAGACCCTGTCTCCTAATTGAAGTTTGTTGCTGTACCCTTCACCATTTTCAGCAACTTTATTAGCGATTGAGACGAAACATGGCCAATTAAAGTTAGATTTTTGATTCAACCTAGCTCCAACTACGTCATTTTCCCCTACTTGTACTATGATATATTCTAAAACTTTTTTCTCAGAATTATTTTTGTTTCCCCGAAGGGATTTTTCCGACTCTAGTGACAATTTTTTTGTATTTTCTGTTAAAATATCTACCAATGGTGTAGACTTTTCAGTAGATTTTTCTCAAGACTCTTTGATACAATCACCATGAGAACTTGAAGAAGGCAACGACGGATTTGACAAGATTGCCTTTTTAGTGGAGGAGCCAAGTGGAGGAAATTCTTCTAAGCTAGAAATGTTCAGATGTGCAGCATTCATTTCTGAAAAAAAATTTTGTTAAAAATTATTTTATTAATTTTGAATTTTTTTTTTTAAATTAAATTGTTATAAAATTTTAGATATAAGAATTTTTTTTTGTACTCACTCAAAATTTTATCTCTAATAGCCATAAGTATTCTTCCAAGCACATTAAAACCCCTCCATTTTTTCTTGTCAACTATGTCTTTAGAATCTATTTCCAGCCCGCAAGCCCAATACTGATCACTTCTACAGGCTTCCACTAAGAGTATACCACGTGTTGACAACAAAATTCTTTTTAACTCCGGATTTTGATTATATTTGTACCAATTTGCTATCGTCATAACTAAAACACAAATTTTACGCCACTTCTTAGTACTATGTCCGGGTAGATTCGATCCTAGTTTTTTAATCATCGCTGCTGATTTAAGATTAAGAATTTGCTCTGCTATTTTGTGATTGTTTGACAGAAGAGCTTTGTAATACATATAGTAGCCTTCTGATGAATGAAATGTGACTCCATCAACAACAAACACGCAATCGAAGTGATTGCTAAATACATATCTCTTCGTAAAAAAAGGAAGTATCTCTTGTCCATCTTTAGTGTGTATTGTTTTCATTCTTAAAAGAAACGAGTAAAAGCGACAGGGGAGAGGAAAAAATGTATTTTATTTATTTTTTTTTTTTGAGCGAAATTTTCTAAAAATTTTTGAATTAATATTAGTAGGTACAACCGAAGTCAGTTCAAGTTATTTAACTTATAGCCAAAGGCAACTTAGAGAAAAAAATTGAAATCGCCGAAGCTCAGTAGAAGTGGACTTTCTTCTTGGGATTTTTCCTTAAATTATATCCTCCTTTGTCTTGATGACTCGATTCTTCATCTCGGTTGGGAACCTGTGGGGAATCTACAACTGTTTCTTCACTCTGATGAGAATAGCCGGGAACATCAAGCAGTTCCTCCGCATTGGCTTCATTGAGGGCTTCCTCTTCTTCTGGTTCCAAGACAACGGTGGTGCATGTCGGTTCAGTTGGTAAAGGTTCAACACATTTCTTGAGTTGATTTATGTGAACTACTCGAGGATTAGCTTGAGGAGAATTACAGCTCGTTATTGTTACATGAACTCCATTTATATTTATGACTCTGAATACTCCTTTCCAAGGCAAATGGAACTTCTTTGACGTGATAATTTTCCCTGAATAATTTCTGAGAAGGACTCTGTCGCCTACAGTAACCGTGGGATTTCTAAGTAACCTATCATAATAGGCTTTAGCTCTTAATTGGGCTTCAGCATTAGCCTCAGCTGCGCATTTCCAAGCACTTCTTAAAGATACAATTAGTTTTTGTTTGACTTCTTGTTCATCATTTAGCGCTATTGGTTCCCTAACTTTAGGATCTAAAATTAAATCTACACAGAAAATGGGATCTCGGCCAAACATAAGAAAAAACGGGGTCTCATTAGTCGATTGATGCACCGAAGTGTTATAACAGAAATTAGCAAATTCTAAATGATCATCAAAATCTGGTTGATCTCTGGAAATATACTTAGCTAAAATGTTATGGAACGTGCGAAATGATCGTTCAGTGACAGCATTTCCTTGACTCCAGTGTGGGATGGCATATGTTTTATTTATATACAACATAGCACATAAACTTTTAAAGAAATCAGAGGTGAAAGCCGTAGCATTATCAGTGATAAGCTCGGTACAACCTCCAAACTTTAAATAGCAATTTTTGAGGAACGCCGAAGCTATAGTTGAAGCTTTCGCATCAGGAATTGGAACCGAGATTACAAATTTAGTAAACCAACAGACAATATTCAAAATGTGTCTATTGCCTGATTCAGTTCTTGGAAATGGACCTGCCAAATCTAAACCAACTTTAGCAAAGAGTGTGTTCACCGGCGGTGTACACATTTCAGCCCTATAAGCTGGGTTCGGTGAATGTCTAAGTTGACAAGTAATGCATTGTTTATGCCAAACAACGATGTCAGAATGCATCCTTGGCCAAAAATATTTTTTACATTTATTCAGAGTTTTTCTAAAGTCCATGTGACCCCCTCCTAATTTGGTCGTATGAAAGGAATCAAAAATTAATGCTCTGAGTGAGATATAAATTCTTGGTTTATTGTCTTTGTGATGTAAATAAAGAACATCCGATTCCAAACACAGATCTTTCGCTAAATGTGCCAAGTCATCTTTTTCACTTTCAGGAAGTTCCTCAGGGAATTTCCCAGTTTTAAGAAATTCAATTAACATAGATGCTTCAGGATCCTCTTTCTGTTCATTTCTTATATCTACTTGGAGTATTTCACCTTCCATTGACCTAAGTGAGAGAGTTAAACCGAAGTTTTCATGCACAACACGGGGTCTCTGTTCAATTGCCAAGCAAACAGGGAATTCCGCAATATCTTCAAGTTCTTTAATTTTCTCCACCTCTTCAGGCGACAAATCTTCATGAGAAAACCTAGAAAGCGCATCAGCTAGCGTGTTCTGTTTACCGCTTATGTGAACAATCTTAATGTTATAATTTTGCAACTCAACCACCCATCTCGCAAGATGTTGGTGCGTTTCTGATTTTCTTAATAAGTACGCTAAAGGCTTATGATCAGTATGCAGTTCAACACTAGACATAAAAATAAAAGGTTTAAACTGCCGAAGCGAGTAAATAATTGCACCTAGTTCTACTTGTACAGGCGGCCACTTTCGTTCCGGATTAGACAAAGTCCTACTACAATAACTTATAACACTATAAACCCTTTTATCTTCATCCCATTGCATTAGTGCTCCCCCTTGTCCAACTTGCGAAGCATCGCAGAAGATGTGGAAAGGTTTGGAGTAATCGGCAAAAATAAGTACGGGTTTTTCAGATAAAATTTTCTTTATTTGATCAAACGCTTCTTGCTGCTCTTCACCCCAAACAAAAGGTTTTTCTTTTCTGGTTAATCTCGTTAACGGCTCCACTATTGTGGAAAAATTTGGTACGTGCTTCCTAAAAAAATTAGCCATACCAATTACATGTCTTACTTCTTTAACCGAAGTTGGATTTTTTAAATTCAAAATTGTTTCAGTTTTTCTTAAACTTGGACTATAACCAGATTTGTTAACTATGAACCCTAAAAATTCCATATGATCAGAAGCAAAAGTACATTTTTTAGGACTTAACTTTAAATTAAAGCGCCTAAATCTTTCAAAAACACTTCTGAGAGAACTAATATGTTCGTCAAAATTTTCAGATTTGGTAAATATTAAAATATCATCTACATAAGCTATAACATTTTCTAAACTTGTCAATACATGTGCCATTATCCTAGCAAATGCACTTGTAGCATTTTTAAGACCAAATGGCAAGTTAACCATTTGATAAATCTTGTCCTCGGTAATTACACCACACTTCCTAGAAGCTCGTTCACTTAATTTAATTTGCAGGTAACCACTAGCTAAGTCTAGAGACGTGTAGTATCTACAGTTTCCTACCTTTTCTAAAATTGTTTCAAGTCTGGGTAACGGAAAATGATCTGGTACCGTTACTTCATTTAACTTTCTAAAATCTATACATGGCCGAAGCCCTCCATCTTTTTTCTGTACCAACACAATATTCGAAACCCATGGCGTGTCTGACTCAATCATAACCCCCGACGCCAGAAGCTGGTCAATGTGTTTTTGTAATTCATCTCGGTATTTAAACGGAACTCTGTGAGGTCTGGACGCTACAGGCTCTTCAGACGTAGTAATAATGTCATGTTCGCCAGCCGTGCAGCTTCCTATATCATACTGACTTTTGCTGAATATGTCTTCAAATTCATTACAAAGGTCTTTTAATTTTTTTAAGATCCTCTCCCACTACCGAGGTTTTTTCAAAATCAATTTTATACGTTGGATCAACAATTATTCCTACTTTCCCTAAGGAATTCATTTCTTCTGAATTTTCATTTAGTTTTATTTCTGATAAAATATTTTCTGAATCTGTTTTTAGTACTTCACTTGCTATGGCTATACATGTATCTTTATAAATTCTTTTTACTATTCCCGTGGGGTTAGACAAAATAATTCTTATAGATTCCTTAGGTTTCGTTACCAATGGCACTAGACTCAAGCCTTGATCAGCCAACCTATTTTCTATCGCATGAACATAAATATCATGCCTAAGAAGTTCGGAAAAATCAGCCCTAGCTTTCATTACACTCTGTTCGTTTGGTCCTATTTCACTAGTCTCTAAAGCATAAATTTTGAAATTTCTTAGCGGCCTATTTAATCTATTATCTATTTCCAAAAGGCATCCTTCAATACGCAGATTTTTATTTTTAAAATCAATTAAAATTGGTGGCAAAAGGACCATTGCATCACAGCCCAATATAAAATGGTAGTCATGGTTGTCCCAGTGAAATTTGTCATTGAATAAATGAATAGTTATTTCCGCACAAATATTTGCAATCTTTAAATTAACCGAAGTTGCTTGCCTAGCACACATAGAATGCTCTGAGGCACTCTGTAAGTATGTTTCAGTTTTGAAAATTTTCGTTCCTAACCACTCCGCTAGTGCTATATTTGCCACCGAAGTAATTGCACCAGTGTCAACCAAACATTTAAGTGGGACTCCTTCTAGAGTTACACCAACAATAACATTATTAGAATTAGATCCCAAAGCTCCTATGAAATTTCTGTTTATTCCATTGATGGATATAGGCAAAGTACCCGACTCAGCTAAAGGTGAACCTCCTATTCTCCTGACAGTAGGTGGCCATGAGATCGACAATGGACGAGGTCTATTGACTGGTTCCTCATAAGTTTCATCAATTTCAATACTTTGCTCTGGTACTCTTCGGATGTCACGTATATCAAGTACCCTTTTTGGGACAGCCTTAACCTTAGAACCAAATATTAACTTCCCCAGTCGGCCATTCCCAGCATACATTTCAAGTAGAATTAAACCTAGCCTTATTGTGAAATCGATAGCCAGAATCCCTATAATTACGTTAAGTATCGTGGACCAGATACTCTTGTAGTCGCCGATTGCTCCTTTAACTATTTGATTTTCTACCTCTTTCCATTCATCAGAGACCGAAGTTAGTACTACTGAATCTTTTTCATTAATTTGGTAAGTCATTTCGCTAATCCTAACCATATTTGAAACAAAAGAATGTTCTTTGACATCAGTCATATTTAAAAGAACTAATTGATGAAATGCATGGGACTCGATTTTAGGAATTAAACCAGTCCAATTTAATTTTAGTTTCTCAACATTTATTTCATTTGGTTTAACCGAGGTTATTTTTCCTTCAATTTGATCAACTTCTAAAATTTGATCATTAACTTGAATTACTAATTTCCTGAATTCTTCACATGGACCTATTTTAGCAGAGGTAGAGACAATCATTGTCGAGGGATCGAGGAACGCTAGATGTTCCTTACTTTCAGTTTTTAACATTATAGGTAAAAATTCAAAGCATCGATCTAATTTAGTCGGACGAAATTCATAGTCATGCCTTTCCAAAGGCACACAAGGCCAAACTTTCATGAGTGACCTCGCAGACCTTTTAGCCACTAAGTAAGGATTCGAGAAAATTGATCGCGCTAACTCAGTTGGGTTAGTCATATAAGAGGATTCTGTCCAATGTTTAACAAGTTCAGTATATTCACAAAACGATGAGAGAGATTGTACAAAAGCAAAATTTATTGCCTTAGTTAAAGACTGGTCTAAATACGTTAATTGCGAAGCAATTTGGGAGGAAGTAGGAAACCCGTCTGAAAAATATTTCCTGTATATCCTACTACTTCTCTTTTTACGGACAATTTCAGTTTCAGAGAGTATAATGGAACCTAAACCTTGGTCAGATACAGTAATGTTCACACCACAATCCGTCACACGAGTTTCATTTTCAAAAGTAAGTCCCAGGCGAGCATCATCTGAGAGCCATACAGACCCCATACACCTTCCATTCTTATCCCCTATAGGCATGAAGTTACACCTCCTAACATTATTTACTTCCCAAACTAAAACTGTTTTATCCTCCAGAATGCAATTGCCTTTACTATAAGGACATTCATGAGCCAAACCTAAAGGCGTAATAATTTCAGATGCACCAAAGTGCGACTCAATTACACTTTCAAACAGAAAACAATTTTTACTAGAAATATTTTCCCAAGAGAATGAACCTATTATCCATGACCTTGGGGTCAAATCAATTTTATTTTCGGTTTGCCAGAATTTAGAATTTTCTTTAAGCGTCCCTAAGGTACAGCTATGATGTTTAATCATTTGATTACATTCTTCTAAAGTCACATCCATAGCTTCCGGAATTAATTTTTCTTCCATGGGAACCCCAGTAATTGTTGTGTACTTCCTAGCACTCTTTTTAATTTTTCTACAAGCCCAAGCTTTTGTTGAAAATTCGATACTATTAGGAAGAAATATCCTTCGTTTTTCTAATTTTGGCGTGTGTCTAGCTGTTAAATTTATCGGAGGACAGCTCGGAATTTCAGGGACTTGCCACAGCATTGCTTGCCTATGTGTCTGACATATCATCGGACCTTTTGGAATGAGCACGGGATTGATTGCTAGTGCACTACAACACATTATCATTAACATCAAAGATGTGCTGGCAATTGAGGGTACCCTTACTCTAAAGCTACTTTCCCAACTAGAAATCTTCTTAGGTTCTACCTTTTCCTTGGTTTCACTTTTAGCTATAGCTTTTTCAGATTGCGCCGGTTGGCTTACCGGTTGAAGTGATTTCATATTTCCTTGATTTGCTAGTGCATAATTAGTTTTCATTTTCATTTCATGGACTTGTATTGCTAGATTTTCAACAATTTCCCTAAGGTCTTGGTCATTCCTATTGTTAGTACCTTTGTTATTTCTATACTTATAACTCTCATTTTGCATCTCATTTGCCTTACGGACTCTACATTGATATTGTTCATGACCGGCCCTATTACAGTAATGACAGTAAGGGCGTGTATTCCATCTTCTGTCATTCTGTGGTCGTTGTTGGCCCCTATACTGATTACTCCTTTGTCCTAATTCTTGTGCATTACTAGAAGTTGAAAGTCTATTGGTTGAAGGTCCCCTAAAGGTCTGTAAGTTGTATGGTCTCCTGGGTTTCCATGTATCAAATCTACCCCTAGGCATTTGATTCGGTTGCTCTGTGATAGCTTGAATACCATCATTGAAAGTCCTGCTTTCCTTTTCAGAGGCTACCTCAAGCTCCTGGACATAGGCAGTAAGCTTATCAAAATCCTTACGTCCTATCAAAGGTCCCACAAGTTGAAGAGAACGTTGGTACTCCGGTCTGACTTTCTCCATAAAACATCTACACAATGTTTCCTCTTTAACCTCAGGTGGGACTTGGCACGATGTGGAATTAACAAGTGGAACTAATCTCTTAATAAAGTCATTTACTGATTCAGATTCTCTTTGATAGCATGCTGCAAGCCTTTTATAAGCTAGCTCTCTAAAATGAGGACTATCTAACTTTTTCCTAATATTCTTTAAAGTAGTGGCTAACGTTTGGCGTTCATTTACCGTTAAGCTTTCAAAAATACTGCGTGCTTGCGTACCTAAGTACAATTTTAATCTGTTTATTTTTTCAGGTTCGGTCCAGGTCATACCAAATACGTCAATATAATCAGTGAATTTTATCATCCACTCGTCAAACGCAAAAGCTGTTTCTCCATTAAACACCCCCAACTGTGGACCAGAGGAACTCGCTTCCCCTAATATATTAAGTTCAAATTCATTGGCACGCTGATCCCCATTATTGATAAGCTCAATCGAATTATTTTGTACTAGATTATTTTTATTCCCTAAGGAGTTTTGATTTTCATTGCGACCTATACCCGAAGACTGAGGAATCTTGTGTGGCGGTATCGGAGGAATTATTTCTTGTCTTTTGTTTAAAGTAAGCAGTCTTGACGCACCGCTGCTTCTTATTTCATCGTATTCAAGATTGTCACGGGACTCCAAATCAATTACAAATCTTTCGTACTTTTCTTCTAATTTACCTAGTTTTAAGTCTAGTTTATCTACTCTACCAGCAACTAGAGCAAACCCGGCGTTTGTATCCTTTTGGATGCCAGCGTCAGCTTCATTGAGCTGACTGATATTTCTATTTACAACCCTAAAGGTTCTACTGACTGCCTCCTCTAAACCCAACACCTCTTTATGTACTTTATCCAAATCTCCTATTTTCGCAGGGGTGGAGAATATTTTAGATTCTAATAATTTTTTATCACAGACTGAAACGTCCCAATCCTCAAATGTTTCAGTCATACTGGCTTTAACTACTCTAACTGACTTCGGTTATTTTAATTCAGGTACGGGACTGCTTTAATCCCCTTTTAATTTTATTCAAAATAATTTTATTTATTATTTTTTTTGAGTTAAAATCTACCTACTTTTCACCAATTGAAGCACAAAGATACAAGATATATCGCCGAAGCAGAACAGAGAGTGCACAGTTTTGTTGAACACCCAATCAAATAAAACACAGCACAATTGTAAACAGTTGACAGCCGATGTACACAACTTTACTAAATAAAAAGATGATTTTTTTTTATATGATTTAGTTATTTTTTTTTTAAGACAGGACAGTTTAGTAAGTGTAATCATTTGGTCAAGTAAAATAAACATTCCTGTGTTAAATGGATAAAAAAAAATTTTTTTTTTAACATGCTCCTGATAATACTAAAAAATAACCGATTAGTAGATAATTTTTTTAAAAAACGAGATAGGTGATACCTCCCATTAATTATCATTTACTAGATTTAAATCTGCCTCAATTTACTCATATTAAAGAAAAAGTAAAACCCTGATTTACCCAAAAAGATTGTTGAGTGTTAGAAAGGTATCACTCTGAACACTAAATAGGGTTTAAAACAAATAAAAAATAATGAATTAATAATAAATATGTTGTGAGTAAAATAAAATTTTTAATGTTGTAACTTCACGATTTCAGAGATGAAGAGTTAAAGAATTTAGCCTTTATCTAGTATTTACAAACTTTCAAAACACCAAATATATTTTAAACAGGTTCTGTCATTGGAATCCAAGTTTTGACAGTTTTTTTTAGTTTAAAACTAAAATACAGTTTTTTTTTAATTCCAATTTAAAAGTATTTCTGCTTATAGCTTCCCAATTTTTACTATTATATATTTTTTGGCAGAATCTTTGTGTTTTGAAAGTTGAACAATCTCTTTTCTTTTAAAGAGGAATCAAAAACAAGTAGAAATTAAAAAAAATATTGTGAGAAAATTTGAACAAAATAATCTTTAAAAAAATTATCACGATTGTAAATAGAAGAAAAACTTTTGATATACTAAAATGTAAACTATAGATTTTGAATCTAACATTTCTAATCATTAAAATCTAATATATTAAGAATTTTCATCAGATTTAAACAGATTTAAAAAAAAATTTAACTCAGAAGGAAAAACAGTAAAGAGAGTTAATTTTAAAGAAAAAAAATTTTATCCGCATATAAAAATGCAAAAAAAATAAAAAAAATGAATATATAAAACTACTACAAAATATTTAGAATTTAATATATAAATATATACCTTTTTATATGAGATATTTGTTATTTAAAAAAAATATATTTTTAAGCTTGTTAATAAAAAATTTCTTTAAAAAAAAATTCATTTTTAAATAGGTAAATTCTAAAAGAAAATTTAAATTTCTAAAAAGAAATTCTAAAAAAATCTTTCTAATGAATTAGAATTTTTAGAAGAAACTGGCTACACGCGTTTTTAATACACATACAAATGATTTTTTTTTAAATTCAGAAGATATATATTTTGACAATAAAATCAGAATTACAAATATGTGTGTTTCTATACTACTATGTTTATTTGTTTGACAAAAGAAAATTCTGATTTTTATTTGTATTTCTTTAAATAAATCAGAATTTCATTTCTGATGTTTAGATAAATTCTGATCTTTAAAAATGTGTTTTTATAGCAAACACCTAAAATTCTGATTTTTAACAAATGATTCTGATTTCTAAACATATAATTCTGATTTCCCCAAAAAATTAAAGTAAGAATCTAGAGTTTTGGGAAGATTTAGAAAGATTCGTTTTAAAAAAAAATTCAATTTTATTATATAAATTTTATTTTTAAATTTGTTACTAACCTTCTTCGAGAAAGTCAACCCGGCTAAAGTCCAAAATTCACACTCCACAAGTAGAAGTTATAGTCCCGAAGGTTTTGCTACTGGCTTGAAGTAATTAAGTTTAATTGAGTATATGTTGTAAGAAATTATGGCACTACGAAATTATTTGAAACACTCTAAAAGATTTTAAAATTCTTTAAAAAATAAAAAAAAATTTTTGAAAATAAATTTTCCGGCAGTTTATAAAGACGAAAACAAACAAAAAAAAATTGACTAAAAGGAAATTTCGAATTTTTTTTGAAGATTTTCACCAAGATTTTTACTAAAATGTACTAAAAATGATTAATTATAAAACAAAATATACAAAAAATAAATATTGGAAACAGTATAGATATAGAGTCTAAATATGAAAAATGTGGAAATTATGTAGATAATGCTGAGATGTAAAAAAATATGGAAATGTGGATTTTAAGGACCATTCTAGAAACCCTAAACAAGCCAAAAATTGTTTTTTCATAAATTTACGGTTATAAAATTCATGGAAAAAAAATACATTTTCAATTAACCAGAGCCCCTATTAATAAGAAAATAAATTTTTGAATTTATTTTTAATAAGAAAATGCAAAGAAAAAGAATATTTTAAATTAGAGAATAAATTAAATAAATTTATTTTGTATTCCCCCCTTTTTTTAATAAAAATGTAAGAATGAATGGGGAGAATTTATTTTTGTAAAGGGAGAGAAATAAGATTGAAAAGAAAGATACATTGAACAAAGATTTCCACTTTTTTTTAAATTTATTTATTTCCTTGTCAACATAAAATACATTTAAATGTTACACCTTTTCTTTTATGCGAAGATTTTTTTCAAATTTGTAGAGAAAATAAATTAAAAAATGTGTTCCGTTGTGAGAAAAAAAATAAACATATTTTTTTCTTTATTTGTAAAGAAAGGATAAATATATTTTTCTTTTAATGAAAAGATTAATATCTTTTAATGAGATTTTGTAAAAGTTAAAAGAATATTTTTGTAAAAAGAATATATATGTTTAAAAATGGACTTTTGTAGGCTTTTAAAAAAAATTTTTTTTGTTAAAATAAAATATATTTTTTTTAAAAGAATTTTGAGAAATTAAAAATTTTGAGTAATTAAAAATATTTTGTTCCCCGAAGGATACCAATAATTTGCATAAAGAAAGAGAGAAAACAAAAAAAAATTTATGCCATTTCTTTTTAAGTTGTTAGTTTGGCTTCCCAAAAAATTTCTCCTAATTACTTAATTTTACTTATAAGTATTTGTGTATATACCCGAAGGCCTTTTTTGTGTATACCGGTTTAATTTCAATCTATTTTTTGACCGGTTTAATTTCAATCTATTTTTTGTATACCGGTTTAATTTTCAATGTTTTTTTGTATACCGGTTTAATTTTCAATGTTTTTTGTATACCGGTTTAATTTTAATGTTTTTGTATACCGGTTTTTCTAATTTATTCCCGAAGGCTGATATATCTTATTATTTCTATACCGGTTTATCTTTAATAGCTATTTTTTTATACCGGTTTATAAATTTCTATACCGGTTATCTTCAATAACTATTTTTTTATACCGGTTTATTTCCTCTACCGCCTAGGTCTTACGTAGGATTAAAAAAAGATTCAATAATTTCTTTCAAAAAAAAATACAAAGATAATTTAAAAAATAATTATTTCGTTTTTAAAAAAAAATGGAAAGGGATGTTTTTTTTTTATTTTATTTTAGTCTTTAATCTATCCCTCCTCTTTAAGGCCCCCTTTGATCTTGTCCGGTGCTACCAATTGAGAATATACGTGGGGGCCCATTATATTGTATGTTATTATAATCCCAGAGGTGGGGCAGGCTCTTGGATCAAACCAGAAGGTTGATCAGGTCTTCGAGTTGTCACCTAAGTGCCCTAGAATAAATTAAAGACTAAATCCTCATTTAAGCATTTATTAAATTAAATAATTATTCAAACAATTAAAACATTCAAATATAAAATAATTAAAGGAAAAGGCAATTAAAAGCGCTATTGATTTATAAGTTTTTCTTTACATAAAACATTGAAAGTTAGCTAACTGACTGAATGAATAAGGATTTTCTAAGCTAATGGAAAATATATGGGCGGGGCTTAGATATGCTTTACAATATTTTAGAGATTGCACATATCGACGAAAGAAGGCTCTTTAAAATTTAAAATATTATTATGAGCCTAGAGCCCATAAAAATAAGAAATTTCTTAAGAAATATAACCAGGCCCAAACTAGTCTTAAAAACTCTAGATAAATTTTCAAGCCACGACTAGGGTTTATGCTGAAACGAAACGGCAGGCAGACATTTGAGGACGGACTTTTGAGGACGGACATTTGAGGACGGACATTTAAGGACGGACATTTGAGGATACAAAATTATATACAAATTGGCAAAATCTTAACAAAAAATGCCAAAAATTAGTGAAATATTGAAATAAATTATGATTTATTTGTAACATAAAATGAAAAAGAGCTTAATTTTAGTAAAAAAACTTTATTTTGCTTGAAACCAGAGAAAATCATCATTTCAGCACAGAAAATTAAGGAAAAGGTATCTTGTGCAATTTCAGATGGACATAAGACATTTTGGGAATGCTTAGTGGATTTGAGTTTTTTCAGTGGAAGGTTTTGAGGGCTTATGTTCAGAGGGTGTCGAGGCATATTATGTTATAGCTCGACGAATTGAGTATTTTACTCTGTTGGACTTTTGAGATTAGGCAAAAGATGGGATGTTTTAAGGGTTTGCTCATTTTCGGGTTTATTCATTGGGACATTTTTTCTTACTTTAAATAAGCTAGGATTTCCCCTTTTCAGCGCCGCAGGCGAAAATTTTGGAAATTGCTGAGGACAATCGCCAAATTTTTTCCACTTTTTTCTGAAAATAGATGAAAATTCACAAAATTTTGGCAAAAATTTGCAACAATATTGAAATAATTTGCAAAAAGTGCCAAATATTGAAATAACGGGAAAATTGGCTAATTTTGTAGTTATTTTTTATTTTTTCCATATATCCGTCCTCAAATGTCCGTCCTCATATGTCCGTCCTCAGATGTCCGTCCTCATATGTCCGTCCTCATATGTCCGTCCTCAAAAGTCCGTCCTCAAATGTCTCACCACCAACGAAACCAAAAAAGCATTGGAATATTAAACGAACGCCTGTCAACATGTACACAACCAAAAATCGTGGACCGTTTAAATACATATAACCGGTCAACGAACTATTTTTAAAAATTCTTAATATCCGCAACCGAATCGAAGAACCGAGAATTTTTCGGTTCGGTTTTTCGGTCTCGGTTTGGACCTAAAACCAACCACTCCAAAAGAAAATAAACTTGCTAAAATATGACATTACTTGATTAAGAAAAAGATCACCACTAATATTTGAACTATTTAAATCTATAGAATATCCGGAAATTGCTGCTGTAAACCTTAAAAAAATTAACACTAGTCAGATAATTCATTTCACTTGCCACATAACCCAAAGAACCGAAACACGTCTCAATAGAGTTTTATCCCTGATTAAATTCCAAAAAGAATTTTCGTTTGGCAATAATTTTTCATGTTCAGGTAATTTAATTGTCGGTTGAAGACCTGCCAACCGAGCAATTTTTCTTTCATTTATTCGCATTTGTTCAAGACGACCCTTACTATGCTTTAAAATATTTTTAAAAGTTTAAAAAAATATTTCTAAAAATACAAGCCATGTTGGACTTTCGGGCATTAAAAATATTATAATAACTAATGCAGGCATTGAAAATATAGCACAAGCAATACTTGAAGAGCGCCAATCAGGAAAGAACATACAAATCAATGTAAATATTAGGCGAGCAACTCCCTTGAAAAACAAGATTTTTAACTCATAAAGGGAGGAACTGGATCGAGTTGGAAGAAATGGATCAAGCTTACTAGCTTGGGGTTTAAAATCAATTAAAAAAATAAAAGTCAGACCAACTCGACAATTTTTCTCACAAAATCCTTTAACTAATCCGAACCAATGACCGAAAGCTGGACATAATTTCGACACTAAACCGAGATGTTCTCAACCCACAAAAGCATCTTACAATAGCAGCCACACGAAGTTGCTCCTGGCTCCAAGCTTTTGCTCTTTCTTAAATTATAACCCCCCCCCCCTCTCCTCAAAAATTGAAATACCCAATTAAAAAATCCCCTAATTGCCATCCTTTGAGGTGGTAATAATTGTTCCATCACAAAAGTATATACAACAACTAAATCTCCTCCAATACAGAGGCCAAGAATAAAACGACAAGCTAATAAGAAATGCCAATTGGGTGCAAATGCTTATGAAAAAATTTTAAAATGCCACTAAAATTGATTATTACCAGTAGCAAACATTGAAGAAATTCCAACAGTTAATGCTAAAATAGAAACTGGTTTACGACCAAATGCATCTGATATTACTCCAAAAGTTAAAGTGCCAATGAGCACACCGGCAAATTGAATTTGGCTTTAGTTTAAAAATTTTTAATTTAGAATGTTTATTAAAAAGTTGGGATATAATTATTTCAATTCCATTTGAACGCCTCCTAAAGGCAAGAGAACCCCGGGCAAAAATTTATAAATGATAGTAAGTCTGATTTGATTCAGAATCAGTCTTTTAATTTAAATTATTGTCAGGCCCTTACTTTCCAATTTGTTCTTAAAGCAGTTTCTATTTATCAATAATATATTTGTTACACATAATCTTAATGCGTTGATTCGGCTACACCAAGAGTTATTGTCAAGAGTGATTTGCTACTCTTGGTAAAAACGCCGGCAATCTCCTGAAACGGTGCTAGGAATTAAAGGCATCTGTTTTAATTGACGGATTCGCGCCCCGCTCCTGATAAGAGAGTAATTTCACTCCGAATATAAGTTATTCATTTAACTTCCAATCCAAAGACAGCTTACCTAAATAAAGCTCGATTATATGCATTAGCTCCACAAATCCAACCAAATTCCATTGCCGCTGAATGAAAAGGTATGTTCTCTTCAAATTGTATCAAATTCTCTGGACATTGTTGATATATTGTACAATTTCTAGCAAAATTTGTGGTATTATTTGATAAACATTTCCATTTTGGTATATAATTTGAAAATACGGAAAAAATCATTTGGGTTGCGAAGAAAATTCCAAACAACCAACATAACAGAACACAATAATGGAACCGATTGAAATTGAATGAACAAAGAGAATTAATGTTTGTTCTCCTAAACTTATTGGTGTTGTTTTTGTTTTCCTCGTTGTCCGTCGGTGATCTTGGCAAAATTGGAGATTTTCTATTCTGTTGATCAGACGTCATTTTTATATAAATTTTTAAGTGATAAAATGATTTAAATTTAACGTAGGCTTTTATCAAAGTTTCAAATCATGTGTCTATGTGCTGCTCAATGGTTCTTTTTCACTCAGGGTCCGATAACCTCTCGAAACTTCTTATTGTCAATTGAATGATAATTGAGTTAAGGAAATAAAATGGCAGATTTTTTCTTCCATTTTATTTAAAGAAAATGATAAAAACAAGAATTTTTTCATTTTAAACCTTGAAATATAGATAAGAGAAATTTGGTATAAAATCAATGGTTTGAAGAGAAATTTCTTTTAATATCACTATTTTGTTTAAAGAACAGCTTAATTTTATCATTATTCACATTCAATTTCACGTTTCCTGCTTAAAATTTAAAAAGAATTAAAAGCATAAATCAGTGTTTATCGTTAAGGCAACCTAAAAAGGTACAGCAATAGAAACATAAACAGCTGTTGAGGACAGCGACTAGTGATTAATAAATAGTTTAAAGTTTAATTTTGTTAATCATGTTAGATCTGTTCTATTCATACTCGGAGAAGTTTCAGATCGCAGCAAAAATTTTTAAATTTCAATTCGGAAAAAATCAGCAGAAAGTTTTTAAAGCTTCTGTGTACCACTTGTGTGTGTTTTTTCTTCTATTGTCATTTGTGCCAATTTGTATGGCATATTGTGTGCCCTTATTTATGCTATAATCTCGTTTCAAAGATCGTTTCGACAACAAACATACGAATAATGCATACGAATAATGCATACGAATAATGCATCGGAAAAATCTACAAGTACGGACACAACACGAACTATTATTTTAATTTATTAAATTTACATTGATAGATTATCAAAAAATATTTAATTACAAAATTTTAAAAATTCCAAGCATCACAAAAAAATACTCAAATAAAATTTACAAAATTTTATTTATTTTGTAATTTTTAAAAATATGTTTATTATTTTTAAGAGAAAAATATTTTTATTATTTTTTCCATTTTTAAAAATCTGTTTACCTTTTTATTACTACAAAAATATTTTTGAGACTAACAATTTTTAAAAATAAATTCATATGAAAAGCACAAAAATACACGTGAAATTCATTTGAAAATAAGTGAATAATCCTTTACTTCATAATATTATTTTCTGATTATTTTCTGTTTACTGGCTAAAACTTGTCAGTAAACTTGAAAATATTTATTTATAAATGTTGTTGTGAAAGAGTATTAACATTTAAAATTCTTAAAATAACTCCGTTTTGGTTGAAAAGCGTCATTCCTCGGTTAAACACCTTGCACTAGTTAAAAGATAAAAAAAAGACTTTAAATGTCCCGTCAAATCCTCGGATACATCCCATCGAATCCTCGGATATCCAGACATGATCTGATATTCGAAACAAAATTTACTGATAAACGGACTTTTTTGGATTCGGATATCAGGAACTATCAACCATGGTTACGTGTTGAAATTTGTGAGAAAAATCTGCCTCGCCCGGTATTTTAATATTTATAGTAGATTTAGAACTTTTCACATGACCGTCCTCGGTATCCAATTTTTTTCTCTTCAAGCTGTCAACAAACGGATGTTAGCATTATGTCTGGGCCAGCCGAAAATCCAAACTTTCTGAGCCCAACGGGTCCGAATTCTAATTTGGAGATTTATAAACATAATTTTGTTTATGAAACCAAAATTATTTTTTCCTTTTGCAATATTTACATAAATATATTTTCACGTGAATTCCTCGTATTTTCATCTGAAAATATTATTTTTCCCCATTTTATGCGCGTTTATTCAGCCTATTACTATTTTCTCTTTCAATTCTTTGAGTGTTTTGCTGCATTTCACAAACTAAAATAAACAAAAAAATTAAATTTAAAAGTGCAAGTATTTGGAAAAACAAAAAGGCTTTTTTAGTAAATATTTGTATTTTTAAATTTTATATTTTTATTTAAAGCTTTTCAATTTTTTAAAATTATTTCCATTTTACGTATCCCAGATTACTAAGTATAATTCTTTAGCTTCTAAAAATCAAACGATTCCAAGTTTTTTAATTTTTATTAATTCAGAAAAGTATTGCAACAAGTTTCGGGTCATTATTCAAGATTAAGGGCCTTAATCCTCACAAATCCCTCGATATCCTTGTTAATTCCTAAATGGCATCTTAATAACTTCTAATCCTTCGTACATTTATTCCTTAATTTTTATTAATTGTAGCTGTTTCTTTTATAAAATATTAATTGTCCTAGCCTCAATGTCCATCATTGACCTATGTAGTTCCATACCCCAATAAAATTCCGGAACCTACCGAAAATTGTTATTTATTTTTATGTCGGAACAGGATATCTAATGTATAAGAGATCCTCTCCTTATTTGACGCTAAACTTTAAATTATTTCTAAACAGCCCACCCCTACTTTCTTCATTTTTTCCTCATTTCCGTCAAAATCCATTTTTATTTAAATTTTACTTCCGTTTAATTATTTGTTTTGGGAAATAGACTTGACAGAAGGGATATAAAATCAACAGGCATATAGTGAATATTTTTTCCGGTTTTCATATTCGTTTATTTAATTTGTAAATAATTATTACTTTTGTTTAATTAAAAGGGCATTATTTAATAAAATTTTCTAAATGATTATTTCTTCGTATATTCTAAATATTATCTAATACAGCCTAATCTTTTAAGAATTAAGGATCACACCGAATGGTTCATGATTCCAAAATTTTGCAAATTACAATAAATTGAGAATCCCCTTCGTTTTTGAGCAGGAAACCCCGATTCCATAAACTTAGAACTATAAAATTGGTAACCGTGATATTATGTTCATATGTGTACATATATAGAATTACATATACCTAATTACCCTGGATAATTATTTTTCCAACCTCTCCCTAGAGGGGGTAATTATTTGGGAAAATACTTTATTTTTTCAATTTTCTTCTCTAATTTAGTTCATTTCTTCGTAAATTTTCCATTAGTTTTTACACAATAAGCATTTAACTTTTATGAAAAAAAATTTTTTATTCAACGCTTAAAAATTGTATCTTTTTTCTGTTATATTTAAATTATTTAATCACAATCTGTTTACAAACAGAATTTTAAAACAAAACCGTAAACAATTTTCTATAGACTAATTCCCACTATAAATATTTTTGAAAAAAGCTGCACTTTATGTACAGGTACGCATTAAATACTCCTCTAAACTTCTCAAAGCTCAAGGTTTTTTCTTCCCCCTTTTTTCTCGATTCTCCGCGTTTCTATAACCAACAAAATGAAATTCACGTGAATTCTGTGTGAATCTATCAAAAAATATTTTTCTCTTTTTGCTACCAGCCGCTTATTAGAGAAAGGAAGGAATAAATAGACGGACTATGCGACATTTGCGGACCGACATTTGAAGATATTAAGCTTAAAAATAAGCTCAATATAACCCAGAAACATAAAAATCAGTTTTGAGAATTTTGGAAGTTCATGAAGCAAGAATTCTTCCTTTTTCAGACGGAATTTTGTAAAT